TGTCTTGGATTGTGTATGAAAACACCACACTGTACCCCCAAAGTGCATCAATGTACACAGTTACCATTCAATAAAAAAAAAAATTAAAAAAAAAAAAGAAAGAATGTGGGGCTATTCCAACAGTTTGTAACACTAACCGAAATAAGGCTGTTTTCTACAATCTTCATTTCGGTTTCTTCTGACAAGGAAATGTTTCCCGTATGTGCATTACACCGGGAAACTTTGAGACTCCTGAAATGCCTGGGGTTTATCCCTCGGGTAATGTGAAACTCGTTTACCCCACTGGGGTCACTACCTCCCTGAGAATCTGCTGTGTCAGCCTTCAGCAAGTTTAGACGTGTAAGAGTGCACAAGGAGATGTGAAAGTGCTCTGAGAAAAACTCCGAGCCACACACAACTGATGGCTGTTGTTGCTGCCAACAGTTACTACTTACTGGCTACTCATTCGGTGATGGACCTGTGTCAAGTCCTTCACATGCCTTAACTCACTTCTTGTGACAATCCTAGTGTCATTATCTACCTTTTATACATGAGGACGCTGAAGCCCAGAAAGGCTCTGAGACTTTACCAGGGTCACACGGCCAGAGAATTGCTGGGCCAGAATTCAATTTCAGGAAGTCTGACTCCAGAGCCTGAATTCTTGAAATCATGTTCTATGTCTTTTTGTTTTTTGTTTTTTTGGTCAGAGTGTCACTCTGTTGCCCCAGATTAAAGTACCATGGCATCAGTCCAGCTCACTGCAAACTCAAACTCCTGGGTTCACGTAATCCTCCTGCTTCAGCCTCCTGAGCAGCTGGGACTACAGGTGCCTGCCACAATGCCCAGCTAATTTTTTTATTTCCTTTTTTGCAGTTTTTGGCCGGGGCTGGGTTTGAACCTGCTACCTCCGGCATATGGGGTTGGCACTCTACTCCTTTGAGCCACAGGCACTGCCTGAGCTAATTTTTTTATTTTTAGTAGAGATGGGGTCTTGCTCTTGCTTGGGCTGGTCCTGAACTTCTGAGCTCTAGCAATCCTCCCCACTCCATCTCCCAGGGTCCTAGGATTATAGGCATGAACCACTTTGCTGGCCTCTCTCTGGTTTCCGTTCAAAGTTTTTCATCAAAGTGATCATAAAAGGCTCGTGTGGGCGAGGGAACAACAGCCTCCCTACTTACTCATTTACCTAGTATACTCCATCTTATCTGCGTGTGTCCCTGTATTCTCCCTACCAGGAATATCACCCTCTGTCCCCAAAACATTCGTCCTCCAAGGTGCAGAAAGTGCCATCTCTCTGAGGCACCCTTCCATCATCCTTCCCAGAAGTGACATCTCTGTCCCCAACTCTTTTAACACCTACCACTCAGGGGCCAAGCTCTTGTGACACT